AGATGCTTTTGATATAAAATTTCCTGCAGCTTTGTGAAGACGATACGAGAATTATCCTTGCAGGAGATTATAACACTCAAGTCCCAGATTTACCTCTGGCTCTCTTTGGAGAGGTATTCAGCAAACATCCGGACCGCCTGGAGTTCTGGACAAGCCCTGGGCTTGATTTCATCCAGCACCACACCATATTTGCGCTGTGCAAAGGAGGAAGAAAAAGAGATTTCTACCATGAACAAAACTGAATGTTGCAGGCAAGATAAGGAGTATCATTTTCATCTTGTCCGTCTGTCAGACTTCGATGCTATCTCAAAATAAATGAATTTCCAAACTGCCAATCTTTAAGGAAATCTTTTCTTTAATTGAGCACAGCAACCGGATCATGACTCAATGCGGACAAGACTGACCTTTTGCCCCCCAATCCCTCCCTTTCCGATCCCCAAATCTCTGCTTCTCATTGGCTATCTTCCAAGTCATTCTCCAGACTTCTTGTCTCATCATTTCCCAGGAATGTCCCCCCCTCCTCATTTCCACGACAACCCGACTTCAAAGGGATTTAGCAGGCAAAAGTTCAGAACTTATCTCTCTCCTCTGCTCTCTATGCCAGTGTTGAGGCGCTGACAGGATAGCATTTCGTAGCTCAGGGTTGAAATGAGGGATACTTGGTGCTCTCTGAGCTCGGTTGTTTTTTTCCCCAGACGTTTCATTATCCAAACTACATTATCACCGAGGTAGGCCCTCAAGTCTTTAATCTAAGTTTTAAAGTTGCCTTTGCAATGAGCAGACACCCAAAATGAAAATTTACAATTCAGTTGCACATGTTCTTGCTTCGAAGTTTCCTACTAACAAACAATGGACACTAAACCTTTGGTTTGTCAGTATGTCATGTGAATTAGGACCAGATTATCGATTTTTGAAGAAAGAAGCTTAGAAGAGAACCAAACACACCGTGGCTTGTTCCTCTGACTATTCAGGGAGGAACAATACAGCACATCTAAGAGAAAGGTGCAGGTATTTGGATTCAAAGCAGAACAGGGCCCTCCGAAGGGTGTTGCCAGTTCTAAGTACCTTCTTAAGGAAGTTGCATCTTTCAGAAGTTTGCAGAACAGCCTTGGGGTCCCAGGAACTAATGACATGACATGAGTTAAAGAGTATTAAGGCATAACCATGTTATCCCACTCTTTTTGTACCTCCTTCACGCATGTATTCCTGAAACTACCCAACTACCACATGAGCCTAAAAAAAGCCTTTTTTTTTTAAAAGAAGGAATCAACAATTGTAACAACTACAGACATGTAAACCCCATCCCAACCCCAGAATATCTTCTGGTCCATATTCAAATACTGTAACTATAAATCCCTAGGTCTAGAGTCATGATGGCGAACCTAGGGCACGCATGCCAGAGGTGGCACGCAGCGCCGATGGCACGTGAGCCGTCGCCCCAGTTCAAACTCTGCTGCGCATGCCCACACGCCTCCCACCAGCCAGTTAGTCTTCAGGTCTCTGCCGCGCCTGCGAGGGGGGTGGGGTGTGTGCAGGGGGCCGCACACACAAGCAGGGGGCATGTGTGCATGCGCCAGGGTGGGGCACATGCAGGGGGCCATGCACACATTGCATTTTGGGGGTTCGGACGCGTGCTTTGGGCACTCGGTCCGGAAAACGTTAGTCATCCCTGGTCTAGGGACATCTGCCAGGTATGGTGAAAAATTCAAGATGGGAGCCATGAAGCAGGGGTGGGCTGCTGGGGGTTCGCGGGGGTTTGGGAGAACCTCTTTAAGATTCTGTGCAGTTCGGAGAACCCCCAAATTCCACTCCTGGCTGACCCTGCCCCCTCCCCGCCCCTCCCAGGAGTCCCCACGCAGCCCGTTTTGGATGTAGGTAGGCGCAGGACGTGCGCAGAGACTCAGGGAAGGCAAAAAATGGGCCTACTGGAAGTTTGGGAAGGCCTCCGGAGCCTGGAGCCGTTTTCGCCCTCCTGGAAGCTTGAGGAAAACCTCCAGAGCCTGGGGAGGGCAAAAACGGCCCCCTGCTGTGGTGCAGGAGGCCGACTAGGCCACGCCCACCATTGCCATGCCCACCCAGCAACCAAGCAAGGAACCCCTTGCTAAAATTTTTGAAGCCCACTCCTGCCATGAAGGGTCAATAGAAACTTGGCCTCAACATCTTGACTTTATTAACCATACCCTGTGGACATCCATCCTAGCATCCAGTTGAAACGGATCTGTAAAACAGATTGGAGAAGTTTCCTGAGGCCAATGGAAACTGCAGTCAAATAGGTAGAGAATAACAGATTCTCCAGTTTGGGGGGAAGTGCGTAGAATCTGGATTAATAGTTAGTAATCAAAGGAGGCTGCCGTCATCAAAACATAGGATTTAAGGTACTGTTGCTATTAATCACAATTCTCTCGAGGTAGTTAATTTCTGTTTGAAACGGAATGGAAAAACAATCCACATAAAAACACAAAACTGCACATTTCAGCTCCAGGCACATGTATAGAAGACTACGGTAGGTAAACTTGGCAGCTGCCATTTTTTGCACTTTCTCAAATCATTTGATGAGCTCGGCCTACCTGCGCGATGTACGCACGATACAGGAAGATGTCCCTCTCTATTTCTTTTTCTGGATTGGACGGCTAAAAACAGAAAAGAAAATTCTTTCCATAACTATACACACATATGCACAATAAAGCACAACCCCACCCCACTCCCTCAAAGTCACAGAACACCTCGGGACCAGCATCTTTATTGCTTTATCACCTTAAATAGAAAAAATCTACTTTTTGGGTGCAGTGATTTCCAGATACCTTCTTTCAATTTCACAGCAGCCACAGCCACCATGGAGAGTAACAATGAATGCTGGGATTAGTAGTTATAACATTAAAAAAGCCATTGTTTGCCCATTCTGGACTCAATGAAGATACACATTTTTTGTTCCTGTAACCACACAACCCCATTTCAGAGTATCATAAGCCTGTGGTGAGAACCATGTTCCTTAGCCATTTGATGGGCTCTTTAAATATTAATAAACACGAAAGCAGAAAAAGCCAGTCCTCAGGCCTGCTCAAAGAGGCACAAGAAACAAAGGAGATAAAAATGAATAAACAGGAATAGAATTTATATGGTTTAAATCAGATTTTAGAGCCACTCCAAACTGCTTTGTAAAAGCTGTAGTATACAGCTTTATAAATGTAACAATTACTTTGTTTGCTTTTCTAACACGTAAGAGGCAAGTTAACAAACAGGGTAACTGAGAATTGAATTGAATTGAATCGAATAACAGAGTTGGAAGAGACCTTGGAAGTCTTCTAGTCCAGGGGTCAGCAACCTGCGGCTCTGGAGCCGCATGTGGCTCTTTCACCCCTCTGCTGCAGCTCCGTCACTCAAAATATGTCTCACAACCGCCAACGTGTGACACCCTCCAGCACACAATTTATTGAGCTTTTCAACCCCCGGTAGGCCAACCATGAATAAATCCAAGAAAAGAAAAGTTTCAGAAGAAAAGAGAATGTTTAATTCAATTACTTATGCTAGTATTGTGGCCGCTCAAGAAATAGTCAGGCACAGGAAGGGTTTTGTGGCTCCCGGTGTTTTCTTTTCTGTGGGATACGGGTCCAAATGGGTCTTTGAGTGTTTAAGGTTGTTCTAGTCCAACCCGCTGCTCAGGCAGGAAACCCCATACCTATACCATTTCAGACAAATGGTTATCCAATATCTTCTTAAAAACTTCCAGTGTTGGAGCATTCACAATTTCTGGAGGCAAGTTGTTCCACTGATTAATTGTTCTCACTGTCAGGAAATTTCTCCTCAGTTCTAAGTTGCTTCTCTCCTTGATTAGTTTCCACCCATGGCCTCTTGTCCTGCCCTCAGGTACCCTCATGTCTTTAAAGATGTGAAAACATAGGTCAATGACTTTTAATATAATTTAAAAGTTGTGGATGGATCTTCTCTTACCACACAGTAAAAACATTCTGTGATTGATGTGTGCTTTCAATGCCAGACACACGGATCTTTACGAAGCATGATCTCCCCAAAGCATCCTTCTGATCCTCCAGTGACTGCACCCATCACTGCTGTGATTGAGTCAATCCACCTTATTTCTCTTTCCTTCTATTTTTCGCAGCTCAGTCTTTGCATAAAGTGTTCCACAATATGGTACTTTGAGCCTGGTCATTTGCACCCCTCCTCCCCCAAATGAGAACCTTGAATGGATTTGTTCTATGATCTGTTTGCTTATACTTTCCTTGGTATTTTCAAGGGTGCTCTCCAGCCCCAAAGTTTAAACATGTCCATAGTGTTTCTATCCTCCTCCTACTTTCACTTCCGTACATTGTCCCAGGCAAAACTATAACCTGCACAATTTATAGGTACAGGTAGTCCTCAACTTACAACGGTTGATTTAGTGACCATTCAAAATTACAACAGCACTGACAAATGTGACTTATGACCGTTTTTCACACGTACAACCGTTGCAGCATCCCCATGGTCACATGATCAAAATTCAGACGCCTGGCAAGTGGTTCATATTTATGACGGTTGCATTGTCCCAGGATCATGTGACCGGCTTTTGCGACCTTCTGACGAGCAAAATCAATGGAGAATCCAGATTTATGTTAACAACCGTGTCACTAACTTGACAAATGCAATGATTTCCCCATAGTCAGGTGATCAAAATTCAGATGCTTGACAACCGGCCTGTATTTATGACAGAGGTCACGTGATCTCATTTTACGACCCTCCGACAAGCAAAGTCAATGGGGAAGCCAGATTCACTTAACAACCATGTTACTAACTTAACAATGGCGGTGATGATTCACTTAACAAACGTGGCAAGAAAGGTCGTAAAATGAGGCAAAATTCACCTAACCACTGTCTTGCTTAGCAACAGAAATGTTGGCCCCAGTTGTGGTCATAAGTCGAGGACTACCTGCCCATTTCCCCGAGTCCTCCATGACTGACTCCATCAAGTCCTTATTCTGAATTATTATTTCTTGAGCGCCATCTACTATTGCTATTTATTCTTTTTCTCTCTCTCTTTCAAATGGCCACATTTTTTTTCCAAAAAATTTTTTATTTTTATTTCTCATAAACATATTTACATGAACAGTCATTTATCCACCATTTTTCATTCCTCTTATCTTTTAACTATAATTATCAATTTAAATTTTTACTTATTCGGGGCTGCTCTTTTACCATTTACCCTTCTTTATTTTGCTACAACCTTTCTTCTTCTCCTCCCCTTCTCTTCCTTCCTTCCTCTCTCTCCTCTTACTTTCTTCGTTCTTCCTCTCCTTCTCTTTCCCATTCCCCTTCCCTTCCTGTTAAGTTGGGTGCATGAGGAGGCAGAAACAAGGACTTCAGTGACAACAGCTCTTTAATTCACAGTGTGACTCCAGCAAAAATACAGTAAAACAGCTCCCCTTATATACTTCTCCGGCCACGGAGTTAGCCAATCACCAATGGGCTATTGTTCTTTTAAACTTCCCGCCAAAACCATATACATTAGTCTCCTCCCTTCCCAGAGAACACTTAGGCTCAATATTTACATTTTTACATACAAAATCACGCAGTTGACTAGGGTGTTCCCTACGCCTAGTTGACATGTGCAGTTCAGTCTGAGGCGTGGCGTTGAGCTGGTCAGAGGGACCTTTTGTCTCTCCCAGCTCCGCCAATGGAACCTCCTGGATCACTTCGGGGGCGTTGATTTCTTCAGCTGGGGCTAGCGTCTCGCTGGGGGGTGCTGCTGGACACCAAAGTCCTCAAATAAGTCTCACAACCTTCTCGGGCGTGAGCTAGTTGTCGTGGAAAGGTTTGGTAGTTAGGGATTGGAGTTACTGATTGTGGTTCTGGCTCTGTGACTACTTTTTCGGATTTGATCTACATGCCTTCTCCAGATTCTCCCATCTCCCATGTCCACTGTGTGTGACTTGGGACCGGTTATGTCAGAAATAGTCCCGGCTAACCATAGGGGCCCATTGGCATAATTTCTGGCAAACACGGGTATCCCTATCTGGAATTCCCTCAGCTTCCCATCGGCTCCCTTGAAACCATCCGGGGAATAATTGGGGTGTAGCCAGTGCAGCATGCACTTAAGTTTTCTGTCCATCAGGAGTTCGGCCGCCGAACTGTGCCCAGTGGCAGTGCATGGTGTGGCATGTTGGGCAGCCAGAAACTTGTCTACTCTGGCCTGCCAGTCCCAGCGTCTAGCCGTGAGAGTGCCTCCTTGGCTGTTCTCACGAACCTTTCAGCCAGGCCGTTACTGGCCGGATGAAAAGATGCAGAAAGTGCATTCCTGATTCCCAACTCCGCTAGGTACCCCTCGAATTAGGTAGCAGTAAACTGGGGACTGTTGTCTGATACGAGGGTATCGGGTAGCCCATGGGCGGCGAAGTGTTTCCGAAGCACCTTGATTACCGCTTTGGATGTCATGGATTGCATTACGTTGATTCTGAGCCATTTGGAATAGGCGTCGACAATGACCAAAAATGTTTGGCCGTGAAAGGGGCCTGCGAAATCTATGTGGATTCTAGACCAGGGCCCTTGGGGTCGTTCCCATTCCCTCACTGGCGCTGCGGGGGGATCTGGCCTGGACTCTTGGCAGGGCTGACACTTCTCCACCCACTCGGTAATGTTGTTGTCCATTTGTGGCCACCAAATGTAGCTTCTGGCTAGCCCTTTCATCCTAACAATTCCGGGGTGCCCGTCATGTAAGATACGCAAAACCTTTTTCCTTAAGCATAAGGGTACAATGACACGATCACCCCACAATAGGCACCTTCTATTTCCACCACGCTGTGTACCTTCTTTTCTACGGCGGCGGTACTTGCTTGACCTACTGTGGTGCTGCAGGTCTCGTGACTTTTGAGGTCAATCAATCAATCTTTATTTATTGATTAGCCCTTGGGCCATATCAAAGTGCAGCGCTCCAGAAACAATTATTACAAAAGTTTGGTAGAAACAATTTAAAATGAAATTGGAATAGGAATAAAACACGATTTAAAATGAAATTAGAGTAAAATACGATCTAGAATGAAATCAGAATAGAATACAATAATTTGAGATGCAAATTAAATATGATTAAAATTATATTACAATGTCACCCCTGCATCTACCCAATCAGTCTTAAAACTACTATTAGAATTACATTATTAAATCAAGTGATCTTTCCTGCAGTCTATTACATTCTGCTGCACCAACTTTGTCCTTTTTTCCATCAATTTTACAGCAAATTTGGCAATCCATTTCACCAGCTGCAAGTTAGAACCTAACAACAATGTTGCAAGAAGCGCTCTTTAGACTTAGGGGTGCTGGCGTAAAAGATCCTGCCCAGCTGATGTTCCCTCAAATTTGAGTACAGGGGGCAGTCAAAAATTACATGGGACATTGTTTCAACTTCCCCCTTCCCACATAAACAGACTCTTTCACTTACAGGGATACCCTTATACCTACCCCAAAGCATGTTTGTTTGAAGTTGGTCTAATCTCAATTTGATAAAATATCTCCTTATGACGGGAAACAAAGGCAGAGTTAAATATTTTTCTATTTTAAAGATTTGTTTATTGGCCGATAACCGGGGCAAACTTTTACTGCTGTCACCTGTGCAATATCCGATTGTGCACTTATGTCCTTAAATCTCTGTGCAAGCCAATTTCGGATCTGCCTATGATCGTACTGCTGCCAATTTAAAGGAATACCAGAGCTACATACCTGCTTCAGAACGCTTGATAACCAATTATTTTTATAACTTGAGATAAACTGATCTATTAGCGCTAGCTTTGGTAACCTCCCTTCCTCCATCTCGATTATTCTTAACCAATAATAAATGGTCTTCAGCATGACCCTAGTGCCATGCTGAAGACCATTCAATTTTCGCCTGAAAGACCTTTAGCACTGGAGTTAATGACTTTTGAGATTCGCGCCTTTTTTGGATCGCCATATTTGTTGGCTCTTTTGTGCCCCGCTGGCTTGGATTGACTAGGACCACTCTTCGGCTTATGGCTGGATGGTAGACTTGCCCTGCACACCCTTGCCAAATGCCCCTTTTTATCGCAATGTCTGCAGATGGAGTCTCTGAACTTGCAGGTCTGCTGTTGGTGTGACCCTCCGCAGCTCGCACAGTCTTCTCGACGCTCTCTCCGCTCACGTCTGTGCCTTTCTGTTTGGAAGACGTTTTCGTCCAACTCTTCTTCGCTGTCGGTCTGGGTTACTTCACTGTGCACTGGGGCTGACTTGTGCATTGTCTGCGATGGTGCTAGTCGTTGCAGGGTCTCCACAGCCTTGGTGGAGGATTCGTGTGCTCTTGCTTCATCAAGAGCGATGGGTAGAGTCAGATTTGACCTGGCCAGAAGTCTTCTCTGTAGGCGAATATCTCCAATGCCGCAGATTAGTTGCTCTAGGAGCACTTCATCGAGGTCTTGGTACTCGCAGTGCTTGGCGGCCTTGCGCAGGGCGGCCATGTAAGTGCTGATCGGCTCTCCCTCTCGTTGCAGCCGTTGCCGGAACTCATACCTCTGGACGAATTTGGAGGTTACCGGGGCGTAGTGTGCCTTTAGTGAGGCTTGTAAAGCCTGCCATGGTACCGACTGAACCGGGGTCGGCTCAAATAGTGACTCAGCCATGTCGAAGACTTCGGGGCCGCAGTGGCTCAGGAAGAGAGCTCTTTTTCTGTTGTCGGAGAGGTTCTGTGTAGGTCGTTAGCCTCCAGGAAGCATTCGAACCGAGCCATGTACGACCCCCACTTCTCTCTGGCTGGGTCGAAAGGCGTTGGCGGTGTAAAAGTAGACATCCTGGTCATCTCGCTTGGCACTGAGCTCGTCTGCCTGGTTGGATTCGTTGTTGTCAGCTCTTCGGCTTGCTTCTTGTTTACCTCAATCCCATCCTTCGTTGCCGACGTTAAGTTGAGCGCATGAGGAGGCAGAAACAAGGTCTTCAGTGACAACAGCTCTTTAATTCACAGTGTGACTCCAGCAAAAAATACAGTAAAACAGCTCCCCTTATATACTTCTCCGGCCAGGGAGTTAGCCAATCACCAATGGGCTATTGTTCTTTTAAACTTCCCGCCAAAACCATATACATTACACTTCCCCCACTCCTCTCTTCTTCCCCCTTTCTAACCTTCTCTCCTACCCCTCTTTCCCCTCCCTTTTCTTCCTCTCCTTTTTCCTTTCTTCTCTCTCTCCCTCTCTCTTCCTCTCGCTCTCTACTCCTTCCCCTATTGCTATTTATTCTATTTGGTCTTAATTTTTTTTTTTTGCCAAATCATTTTTTATTCATTTTTTTTTAAAAAAAAGAAAGATAAAACATACAAATATCATTCATTCAATCAAGTACAGACAGTACATCGGTCGGTTTGCATCCTTAGTGCCCTCTCCTCTCTTCACAATATCACTACATATCCAAAGTTTATTCTTATGTAAAATTTATCAGTTGCATCATCATTTAAAGTATTTCAGCATTTTTTTTTTATTTGATTTATATGCCGCCCTTCTCCGGAGACTCAGGGCGGCTTACAATGCGTTAAGCAATAGCCTTCATACTTTTGTATATTTATACAAAGTCAGCTTATTGCCCCCACAAACTGGGTCCTCAATTTACCTCAATTTACCTATATTTACTTATATATCACTATTTTTTATTGTCTACCCAATGGTAAAATAAATCCCATATCAAATAATATTATTTTTCTTCCTGCTCTCTTATTTCTAATGTCAGTTTACTCATTTCGGCACAGTCCAACATTTTCCTAATGATTTCTTCATCTGTAGGTATCATTTCTACTTTCCAAGTAGATTTTAGGGATTTTACCAGAAATATATAACAAAGAACTGCAGTATTTAATTGTGAATCTTCTAACAGCAGCTAGAATTGTATCTGCTAAAAATATTTGGTCTTAATTTTATTGCCCCCCCCACCCCCCTCGCGCTGAACCTTGAGGCCTTTTCACTGAACTACAAGTGATATCAACTGGTTGAGGATGATGGGACCTGCAGTCTTAACACCGTTAGGGTGCGGGAACTCGGAAAACGACTCTGGCAGGCGGCGGTTCAACCGGTCGTGCCTTCCTTGCTTCATTTTTTCCCCTCAGAATTTAACCCCGAGGTCCTCACCTTGACTCGCTGCGCCTCGTTGATGGCCGCCTGAAAGGCCCCGATGTAGAAGTTGTTCCTCAGGTCGAAAAGCTCGTCAGCCTCTCCGGAACCCGCGGGAGCCGCCATTGCGAACGGTTCTTTTTCAAACCCGACACGTCTTCGCCTTCCTCGCCCTTCCGCGCAAAGCACTGTGGGAAACACCCGATTGGCTGGCTCTCTTTTGCCCCGCCTGGCAACCAGGCCGAAGGAGAGCGAGGCGGACCAATCGGAAACAGAAGAAAAGATGATTGACGGAAAGCTTCCTGGGAACTGGAGTCAGGAGGCAAGGAGGCCTAACCGCCACCCGGCGCATAGAGATAGAAATATAAGAGTGGTACTCCAAACGGGTTATGGCAATAACAAGAAGAAAGCCTATTGAATCCAGCGGGATTTGTTTCCCTGACAGCCTTTTTAAATAAAAATAATAATTGTCATTCTCCTTCGTGGAGGCAATGAAGAAGGAAGGTATTTTCGGTTTTCTTCCTGTCGGCTTCTGAATGGACATTTTTTCATGGTCAAGAGTATCCAAGAGTTTACTAAATTTTACAATATTCCTCCTTTATCGTAGCCTCGAGACTTTTTACAAGTTTCGCACCGGGTTGATAAATCTCCACCAGATTTCTGTGGGAACTTCGAGGTTAGCTCTACTGAGGGTAGATCTACCTTCTACATAGATCTACCTTCCCTCAAATCTACGAGAAGGCTCTTTTCTCGGTGCAGAGAATTGCCTGGGAGTTGTAGTCCAACCGTCATGGCTTCTGAGCGATGCGCCGACGCTGGACAATGACGTCACATTTTTTCCTTTGGAAGGCGCGTGGTGACGTCATCAGACGCGTCTCCGTCGCGGGGCATCTTGGGATTTGCTGTCTCCCTCGCGTTCCTTCTATCCCGTCGGCGTGAAGCTGCCCCGATCCTCGCCCGGACGATGGCCGGTTTCCGCGCTTTAGGATTGGACTCCTGGCTGGCGTCTCAGGCGGAGCAGCTGGGCTTGTCGAGGCCTACCCCGGTGCAGGAAGCCTGCATCCCTCCCGCCCTGCAAGGTAAGACCCAGAGGAAGAGTTAGAACTTCAAATAACTTTATTGCCATTTTTTTAATAAGGTTTTTTTTTTTTTACAAACATATCAAATCAACGCATGAACAGGCTGGCGCCTGGGTATCAAATATTCTAATACAAATAAAACTAGTAAAATTAATCATAATTATTAGATTCAATCAACTTTTAATTGAATCAATTATTAGATTCCATCAATTGAAGAATGACAGATTGCAACGTATTATAATATAAATATATTTATATATTATATATAAATATATTTCTAATGATGATACACAATTATAAGTTGCAATCTGTCATCAAAAATATATATTTTATATATATTTCAATTGATGGAATCTAATAATTGATTCAATTATGTATAAAAATATATATTATAATATATATAATTGTATATAAATTATATAATTATATATATTATAAGATTCAATTATAAGATTGAATTATATATAAAAATATATTTCTAATGATACACAATTATAAATTACAGATTATAAGCAATCTGTCATTCTTCAATTGATGGAATCTAATGATTCAATTTTATATAAAAATATATATAATATATATAATTACATATAAAATTCAATTATAAGATTCAATTATATATAAAATATATTTCTAATAATGATACACAATTATAATAAGTTGCAATCTGTCATTCTTCAATTCTTTTATGTTTTCTCTTATTGTTACTTTTGTTTTATTATATAAAAGTGTATACACACATTCCCCTTTCTCTTATTTCTATCGCTTATTCTAACTTTTAATTGTATCGCCTTTTACTAAAAAAACATTTTCTTTCTATCTTACCTAACTTCTAGTCATGTCACCTACCTAAAAAAAAAAAAGAAAAAGAAAAAAAAAAGATTGCCATTTTGAATGTACACTAACTGGCATACATTAAAACGAAATTTTCGTTGCATACAGCTCTCAAAGGGTCTCCACCTCTAATATACACTACATAACCATGACTAAATAAATAAATAAATGCAAAATTATGCATGTACCCACATATATTATTATATGACAGAGAGAAACAACACAGTCTAGTTTGGATGTGTACATGTACATGGTGAGAAAAATGAACCTTGCTAGTTTACCAAACAGATGGCATAGGGAACAAAGCTGTTACAGACTCTGGTAGTCCTGCTAAAAATACTTCGAAATCTCCTCCTGGAGGGGAGCGACAGAAACAGACCGTGAAGTGAGTGTGTGGGATCTCTGACAATGCTTTGAGCTCTAAGCACATAGCTTAGAATAAGCAGTATCCTGAATGACAGGAAGCGAGCTTCCTATAATCTTCTCCGCTGTCCTCACCACTCTCTGTATGGACTTTCTATCTGAGCCCACTGCTGCCACCAAACCAAACCGTGATGCAGTTTGTTAAAAACGCTCTTCATCGTCCCGCGGTAAAAAGTGGCCAGGACATAAGGAGAAAGATGTCCTCTCCTCATCCGAAGCAGAAAATGTAGGCGCTGGTTTGCAGGCTTCACTAAGGATGACGGGTGGAGACACTAGTTCAGATTGTTAATTGTTAATTATCAGATAAATTATCTGCACCCCAAGATACTTAATACTGTTGACCACCTACATCTGTGATACTGCATCCTTGATACTGAGTGGAATATGACTATGCCAGCTCTTTCTAAAATCTACAATTATTTACAATGGTCTCCTTTGTTTTATTAATATTTTTATTGCACAAGTCCACCAGAACCTTCACCTCTTCCCTATAAGCACCTTCACTGTCGTCCTCACAATGTGATTCGTAGCGGATTTGGCCCAGGAGTCGTGCCCCATCTGAAGGAATTGGAAGGCTCGCTGAACCCTTTAACGGTTTTTGAACCCCTCCCATAGCAGTCCCACCCCCAACATGCCAAACATGAACAATGACAGGTAGTCATTGCCACGGTCACTCACGCCCTTGTTACCTCTAGGTTGGACTACTGTAACACCCTCTACATGGGGCTGCCCTTGGGATGTGTCCGGAGGCTTCAGCTAGTCCAAAATGCAGCCGCGCGGGTAGTTACGGGGGCGTCTAGATACTCCCGTGTAACACCTCTCCTGCGTGAGCTGCACTGGCTACCGATGGCACTCTGGATACGTTTCAAGGTGCTGGTGCTCACCTATAAAGCCCTTCATGGCTTAGGCCCGGGTACTTGCAGGACCATCTCCAGCTGTTCTCCCATCGTCCTGTGCGCTCTCACAGAGTCGGCCTCCTCAGGGTGCTGTCGGCCAAACAATGTCGGCTGACGACCCCCAGGGGGAGGGCGTTCTCTGTGGGGGCCCCGACCCTCTGGAATGGATTGCCCACTGAGCTCAGGACAGCCCCCGACCTTCTTTCCTTCCGTCGCGAGCTGAAGACGTGGCTCTTCCGCCAATTAAACTGATCCGTTTGGGGGGTACACTGGTATAATTTTAAATCGTTTTTTAATTGGGTTACTGATTTTAATTTGGTATTGTATTGTGATTTGTATTGAAGTTGTCATTTTGTAAGCCGCCTTGAGTCCCTAGGGAGAAAGGCGGCATATAAATCGCAATAAATAAATAAATAGTCCTCAACTTACGACAGTCCGTTTAGTGAACGAAGTTACAATGGCACTGAAAAAAAGTGACCGATGGCCATTTTTCACCCATATGACCATTGCAGTGTCATGGCCAGGTGATCAAAATTTGGCCGCTTGGCAGGTGCCTCTGACCACACACAAAGTGCCCCGCACACCTTTTGCCTTTGTATAGAGCTGGCTTCCTACATCTTGCTCCCATAGGTCGCGACTGCATGGGCTGCGCCAAAACAGGAAGTGGCAAGACAGCTGCCTTTGTGCTCCCCATCTTGCAGAAACTTTCTGAAGATCCTTTTGGCATTTTCTCCCTGGTGTTGACACCAACAAGGTAGGGGCAGGTATAGCTTGGGAAAGGACATTTACCTCGAAGAGATGGGTAGGTGAATTCTTGGTTTGGTCTGTGCTTAAATGAGTTGCACAAAATAAAGATTACCGTATATACTCGAGTATAAGCCAAGTTTTTCAGCACATTTTTTATGCTGAAAAAGCCCCCCTCGGCTTATACTCGAGTGAGGGTCCCACTTACCTGTTCTCCGGTGCAGTGTGGGTGTTCTCCGGTCTCTCCCGCTCATCTGCGGGCACCTGCAGCCTCTGTGGGTGATCCAATAACTGCTGATATCACCGCTCTTCTTCTCCCGCTCTTCCCCAGGGCTGTGACCAATGACGTAGCCTTTACAGTCTTACCCGTGTTTGGTCACGCCCAGTGGTGGGATTCAGCCAGTTCGCACCACTTTGGGAGAACCGGTTGTTAACTTTCTGAGCAGTTTGGCAAACTGGTTGTTGGAAGAAATCATTAGGGCAGAGAACCGGTTGTTAAATTACTTGAATCCCACCACTGGTCATGCCCCTTGCTCCGCCCAAGCATTGCTGAATACAAGTACCGGTCTTGGATATACAGTACGTTTATTTAGGATTTTAACTCTTGTATTTTAGCTTGGTTGCTGATTGAGCTATTTTTGAAATTTACCAGTAGCTGCTGCATTTCCCACCCTAGGTGTCAACTTGCAAAGCTTTCAAGTTGCCATGAGCAGGAGGGAGGGAGAACTGATAGAGCTGATTGATTTCCCTAACTGAAGTGCATTCCATACATTCTTCCTGACCGCAATCAGAAGGAGGGTGTTGGATTTCACAGTCAGCCAAAGTGGTTAATTGGAGAATGTGATTTACGACATGGCCAGAGAGGAGGGGAGAGACAGGGTCATAGGGGAACGTAAATCTACGTGGGATTAGTTCTAACTGCATCCAAATATTGCCGAAATGGTGCTCCTAATAAATGACTGTTTTTTTTTTTAATTTGATTTATATGCCGCCCTTCTCCGGAGACTCAGGGCGGCTTACAATGTGCTCAGCAATAGCCTTCATCCTTTTGTATATTTATACAAAGTCAGCTTATTGCCCCCACAAACTGGGTCCTCAATTTACCTACCTTAGAAAGGATGGAAGGCTGAGTCAACCTTGAGCCTTGGCGAGATTCGAACCTGCAGTAATTGCAGGCAGCTGGTCTTAATAACCAGCTTAATAGGGTGCCTTAGACCACTGTACTACCAAGGCTCTTCTTTCTTTTGAAGTTCGGCTCATGGTTCATGAATTAATTAGGGCATCTTTCGGAAACTTCACACTAAGCTTATACTCGAGTCAATAAGTTTTCCCAGTTTTTTGTGGTAAAATTAGGTGCCTCGGCTTATATTCAGGTCGGCTTATAGTCGAGTACATACGGGTAATTGGGTATGTCTACGCTAGTGAAAAGAAGAACTAGCAGTGACATGATAGCAGGGTTCCAGTATTTGAGAGGCTGCAGCAAAGAAGAGGGGTTCAATCTATTCTCCAAGGCACCTGAAGGCAGGACAAGAAGCAGTGGGTGGAAACTAATCAAGGAGAGAAGCAAGCTAGAACTAAGGAGGAATTTCCTCACACTCAGAACAATGAATGAATGCTCCAACACTGGAGGTTTTTAAGAAAGATTGGAGAATCATTTGTCTGAAATGGTGTAGGGTCTCCTGCTTGAGCAGGGGGTTGGACTAGAAGACCTCCCTGAAGATTTATTTTAGTTATTATTTATTATTCGTATTTCTATGCCGCCCACTCTCCAAGGACTCTGGGCGGCTTACACCAAAGACAGTGTACTAAATAGCATATTGCCCCCAACAATCTGGGTCCTCATTTTACCCACCTCGGAAGGATGGAAGGCTGAGTCAACCTTGAGCCGGTGAGATTTGATCCGCTGATCTGCTGAACTAGCAGTCAGCTGAAGTAGCTGCAGTACAGCACTCTAACCACTGTGCCACCTCAGCTCTTACTTAAGATGATAGTGAAACAGGCTGGAAACACTGATGCCTCCTCATGGTGGATTCTCTCTTACCCGCAACAGAATCAAGAAGGAAGTCAAAGGGGAGAAGTCTGCTCTGCCTCTGCAAATACCGTATTTTTTGGAGTATAAGATGCACTTTCCCCCCCTCCTAAAAGAGGCTGAAAATTTGGGTGCGTCTTATACTTCGAAATGTAACCCCGCGCGGTGCCCAAAATGGCTACCCAGAACAGCTGCTGCCTTCTCTTACCCCTTCCGCGCTTTGCCACGGAAGCAGTATGCTCCATCGCATAATTGGATCCTGCAACATTATTCTGGGGCACATATTTGTCTTCATTCAGATGGAATATGAATTTAATATTAGTAATTAAATAAATGTTTTTTTAAAAAAATCTTTTTCCTTCCCTTTTCTGCCAGAGAGCTGGCCTATCAGATTGCTGAACAGTTCCGTGTCCTTGGGAAGCCTCTGGGTTTAAAGGACTGCATCATAGTCGGGGGAATGGGTACGTAAACTTATTTGGAACCTGGAAATGCACCCCCTCCCTTTAAAACAAGCTATCTTAAGCCCTGCGAAGCTGCAGAAAATATTGATTTGACCACTTCATACGCTGGGATGAGACTCATAGGTTTTTGGATGCTATCTCTTACAAGAGGTGCTAAGATTTTCTCTCTTGATGGACTTTCAGATATGGTCTCTCAAGCCCTGGAACTGTCTCGGAAGCCCCATGTTGTCATCGCTACCCCCGGGCGCCTGGCTGATCACCTACGGAGTTCCAATACCTTCAGTCTTCGAAACATCAAGTTCTTGGTAAGGCATTTTGTCTGGGTAATGATTTAAGAGCTGACCAGCTGCTACAATGATGTAAGGCTAGGAATGAGTCAGCAAGGTTTTTGGGCTGATATCACTTTAAGAGCCTGTAATAAGAAGAGGCCCTGTTGGGGTGGATCTCTCAGTGTATGCTTCCGTGCTGTAATTGCTGATTGCTGTTTGTTTCAGGTCTGACTAAAGTATGTGTATGTATATACTTTTTGTAGATAAAACCACTATTTACCGTATTTTTCAGAGTATAAAACGCACCTTAGTTTTTGGGGAGGAAAATAAGAAAAAAGCTGATTGGCAGGTGGATCGGCCTCCTGGAATACCCCCAATCAGCTGTTTCCAGAGGTGGATTTTAGTGACAGGTTCCTTGGTTGTGAGCTCTGTGCCTTGCTTTTTTTTTTTTTTTTGCTTTTTTTTCTGCCTCTGAAACTCCATTTCAGAAAAAACCTTTTCCTGCCTCTGAAAGCCTCCGAAACAGCTTCAGAAAAAAAGCCTCTGAAGCTTGGATTTGGGGCTTCTTTTCTGAAGCTTCGTTTCTGATGCTTTTTCCAGCCTCTGAAACCTCGGTTTGAAAAGCCAGGCGGGGCTACATTCGGAGTATAAGACGCACTCAGATTTTCACCCTCTTTTTGGGGGGAAAAAGGTGCGTCTTATACTTCGAAAAATATGGTAAATACAAACCTCTGTTTACTGTATTTGCTGCTGGGTTGTCTCACAAAGTCACACTGTGTGCACTCTGACACATTTGCACAGAGTGGGGTTTCTCAATCTTGGCATCTTTAAGATGTGTGGACTTCAAATCCCAGAATTCTGGTTGGGGAATTCTGGGAGTTGAAGTCCACACATTTTAAAGGGGCCCAGGTTGAGAAACACTGGTATAGAGCCTTAACTTAGAATTAGGATCCTGGGTAGCAAAAGGCTGGAGGAAAAAAAAATCTCTGTGTATCATTGTTAGGCAAATTGGAACGTTTCAGTCATAAGTATAGTACTCCTTAAGTTATGACTGTAATGGAAGCTGCCCATTATTGGTTGTAGATCGTAACAGTTGTAAAACATGTCCAACCTGATTTTATTACCTTTTTGTGGCAGTTACGAAGTAAAACATGGCAGATGTAAAAAAAAAAAAAAATGCCATGATGGTTAAGCCAATTAAAGTCTTGCTATGGGTTTGATTTTGCCAAAAACAAAGTAAATGCCATTTGGCACAATTGTTGTAAACTGCAGTCATGTGACCTCAGGGTGCAAATGGCCATAAATGCAGCATGTGGCCAAGTACCTTCGAGTCCGGTCATGTGACCACAGAGGGAGGGGGACTGTTGGAACTTCAGGTCCAAGTTGTAATTTACCCCTTTTTCAGATAAGTCAGAAGTTCTAACGGTTGCCAAGCAACCAGTCATAAATCAAGGCCGACCTGTACTTTCTGTTTGAATCCTAAAGACCTAGTAACTTCTCTCCTCTGATCAAACTTTCTGGCACTAAATTCTGCAATGATCACACAGCTGCCCAACATATTTTTCTGATGGATTGTTTATTCCCTCCACTTCCTTTTCTCCAAGCTTGTCTCCACGTAGTAGGATTTGTTTCAAAACCGTGTAATCCGTAAGAGGACTATTAAGTCCATTTTTTAAAAAAATGGATTTAAACACATTAGGCTTCAGTCAAATTCTTCGGAGAGGGACGGCATATAAATTGAATAAATAAATAAATAAAATAAATAAATAAATAAATAAATAAATTTGATGAAGGTGGGTTTTGTTTTGTTTTTTAGACCACCAAAAAGCTGAGTAAACATATACAGGTATTCCTTGATTAGAATCAGTCATTTAGCAACCCTTCGAAATTATGACAGATCCCCAAAGAGCTTCTTTCAGCTTGGATTCCAAGTTCCGATGGCCGCCTCATCCATTCCCCCCGTGGTCATGTGATCACATTTTGGGTACTCAGCAACTGGCTTGCATTTACAGCCATTTCCAGCATCCCGTGGTCATGTGACCACGATTTATGTTGGATTTTGCCGGAAACTGACATTTACTTTCTGTTTACTGCAAAAAAACCCAAAACACCCATTGCAGACAATGGATTCTCTTAACTATCGCCACAAAAAAATATCATAAAATTGGGTTGGTGGTGTGGTGTATCACCCGCTTAACAACCAGCGTGAATTACAACTGTAATTCCAGGCTCAATTACAATTGTCAGCCCGTGACCGCCTGTCCTGAAAGTCAGCTGGCATGAAATAGCCAGTATAATGGCTGCAGAATTCTGGGAATTGAAGTCCGCAAGTCTTACTCTGATGTACCCTGTTTCCCTGAAAATAAGACATCCCCTGATAATAAGCCCAATCGGCTTATTTTAGCATGCGCTAAAATAAGCCCCCCCCCTGAAAATAAGTCCGCCCCAAAAATATTTAAATGCACGCGCAGCCGGTCCCCGCCATTTCCTTTGGTTTCCTCCACCTGCCCCAAAATAATAAGACCTCCCTGAAAATAAGGCCAAGTGCTTATTTCGGGGTTCAAAGAAATATAAGACAGGGTCTTATTTTTGGGGAAACACGGTAGATATTTCCCCAGTGGTGGTCCAGCCCAGGCTGCTTTTCAGGTTGCCTTTACCCTTTAGTCTGGTCCTTACTGATAGTTCAGCTGCAGTCAATTCCTGTCTCCTTTTTGGTTTTCATTTTAGGTCCTAGACGAAGCCGACCGGTTACTAGAACAAGGCTGCACCGACTTTACCAAAGATTTGGAAGTCATCTTGGCTGCAGTTCCAGCCAACAGGCAGACGATGCTCTTCAGTGCCACCCTGACAGATACCCTGAATGAGCTCAAGAAGATCGCCATGAACAAACCCTTCTTCTGGGAATCGATATCTGAGTGAGTTTGGCTTTTGGGGGCGGGGGGGATGTCTTCGAATGGGGAAAGAATTTGGGGCTCGGCGGGAGGGAGAGGAGGATAGGAGAGAAGCTTACAGAACTGTGTGCTGTAGAGAGAAGAGTTTTTTTCTCCCTCTGTCAAAGTGAAAGCCCAGTGAAATTAATAGTTAGTAGTTCGTTTCTTTTACTACAGGTAGTCCTTGACCTACAACCGTTTGTTTAGCAACTGTTCAAAGTTACAACAATACTGAACAAAGCGACTTACGACTGTTTTTCACCCTTACGACCGTTGCAGCACCCCCATGGACACGTGATCAAAACACTTGGTGTGTATTTATGACGATTTCTGTGTCCCGGGGGGGTCACGTGATCACCTTTTGTGCCCCTCTGAGAAGCAAAGTCAATGCAGACCAGTAGTGAAATGTAAAATTTGTTACTACCGGTTCTGATGATCCCAGCTGAGCCGTGCAATCATTAGAGGCTTTTTTTTTTTACTTTTAAAAGCATTTTTTCGGCCAAAGAGGTTGTAAAAAATGCTTTTAAAAATTAAAAAAGGCCTCTGATGATTGCGCGGCTCAACTGGGCAACAGGAGGGGGGCAGGGATTTTTGCTACCAGTTCTCCGAACCTCCTGTCTCCATCGCTACCGGATCGGGTGATCCAGTCCGAACCGGGAGCATTTCACCCCGATGCAGACGCTAGATTCACTTAACCACTGTGTCCAGAAAAAGTCACAGAATAGGGCAAAACTCACTTAACCATCCTGCTTAGCAGTGGAAATTTGGGCTTGATTGTGGCCATAAGTTGAGGACTACCTGTAGAAGAAAACAGTTCACTTCCTGAATTGCCCATCTAACCTTTACTGATCACAACTGTCAGGATTGAAATTAAACTCCTTCCTGGCATTTCCAGGAGAGGCCTTGAACCCAAACTCACCTTCCATCAGTGCCCATTAGAAACCACAGCACCCCTGGCAAACCAATGAATGAAAGTGGCTTGTTTCACATGGTCCCCAAGGAGGGGTCCTCCTAACACCTTTAAGGGAGATCAAACGAATACCTGGTCTTTGGTCCTGCTCCTGTCTCTTCCACATCTGCAGAATTCGTCTAAATATCCTTTTCCTTCTATCTTGCAGTGTCAGGCACAGAGAAAGGAGACTTTAGTGTAATTGGTTAGTGAGATGCCTAAATTGGGTGGGTGGATGGTGTTGTGGCCTGTCGGACGCCGGCCCCTCCACCACCTGAATCAGAGGAGGAGGAGGTGTGGGAGTCAGGGTCAGCATCAAGGTAACCTGAGCTCCAAGGTGGAAGAGGGAATGGAACTGGCAGAGAAAGATAGAGAGAGGTGGAGCTTGGGCCATCTGTCAGCCCTCAGATGGAGAGTCAACAGCCTCCCTGGTCTGGAGGTGGCTGATGAGGAAGAGGAGGAACAGTCCCTGATGCGCGGATGCACAGAAAGCAGAGGAGAGCAGAGGAGCAGAGCAGTGGAAATCTATGGGCCGATCCTTGGGACAGAAGAGCCACCGCTGCTAGCGAAGCCCCACCCTAGCTCAGGGGATAAAAGGCAGGGGGCGGAGAGGAATAGATGGGGCAGACAACTATTCATCTCCCTGCCGGACAGACTTGTTAGCCTGGGTTGAAAGAGAAACTTTTTGCCAGGGCTGCCAGCACTCCCAAAGATGAGTTCACTTCAGAGGATTTGTCGTGTTTGGAGAGCTGGGTCAGAACAGATGGATAGATGGAGAGGTGGGATGGAGAGATAGAGTATTAGATTTTTGTTTTGCCTTTACTGCTTTATATAAATTATTCAAGGCAGTGAACATCCCTAATGCTCTTTCCTCCTATTTTTCCCACCACAACAATCCTGTGAGGTGGGTTGGGCTGAGAGAGACTGGCTGGCTCAAAATTTGATGCCTAAAGGATGGATTAGAACTCACCATCTCCTGGTTTCTCGGCCACTACATCAACCTGGTGTAGATAGATTCCACAAAGTGACCATAAACACAGTGATTGTCCAACTGCTCCAGCGGTGGGTTCCTCCCGGTTCAGCCCGGTTCGGTCGAGCCGGTAGCGGTGACGATATGACGTCACTGAACCGGTTCTCTTTGTTCGGGAGCTGCCCGCCCCTGCGTTATTCTTACCTTTTATTTGGCCCCGGCCCCAATCTATTTGCTGCCTCCCCAGCCCCAGCTGATCGGCTAGAAGGAAAAAAACTGTTTAAAGTCTTGCCACGGGGCTTCAAAGGGCCGCCCTACAGCTGATCAGTGTTAAAAGGCACTGTGGTGGTAGACCAGTGTGTTCGAAAAACAAATGGGTAGACCGGTACAGCTCTGCAAGCAGTTAAAAGCCTGGGTAGACCAGTACCTCTGCTAAATCCTAAAGAATTGTCACATGACCATCAAGCCATGCCCACAAAATAAGCCACGCCCACAGTAGTAAAAAATTTTAGAACCCACCCCTGCACTGCTCCCTGTGGGATCACTCTCGACTCAAAGTCCGATACACGTAGGGTAAATAAAACTGCTTTCCACTTCCTTCCCTGAATTGAATGTAATGGGAGTGAAGGGAGGATGCATTCAGTTGCTAAAAAGCTATTTATAAATGGTCTCATATAAGCCTATTTAAACATTCAAGCTACAATTTCTGTCTTAATCTTCCTCAACCAATTGATCCTGTATGTTTAATTAAGTTTCTTCTGTATCCCTCCACTCCTGCTTAATGAATGCTTTGGAACGAATTCTGGCGTAATGACTTGAATCTCTTGACTTCCTAATGAAGGCTCTATTTCTGATGGACTTTGACCAGGCTTAAGTAACTGTTTATAATTTGATTGTAGGCTGGTGCTTTCAAAATCCCTGTCCCTAACTAACAGCTGGCCAATCTCACCGTCCTTAAGAGATCTTGGGTCAGTCTTGCGGAGAAAGTTAGTTTATGGTAAACAAGCCGGATTGCTGGTGCCAACCACAGGTGGTCCTCGACTTACGACTACAATTGAGCCCCAAATTTTCTGTTCCTTAAGTGAGACAGATCTCGAGTTTTACCCCATGTTTACAACCTTTGTTGCCACAGTTTTTGAGTGAATCACTGCAGTTGTTAATAAACTCGGTTGTTAAGTGAATCTGGTTTCCCCATGGACTTTGTTTGTCGGAAGGTTGCAAAAGGGGATCACGTAATTCACAGGACACTACAACCGTCATAAATACGAACCACTTGCCAAGCACCTGGATTTTGATCACGTGACGACGGAGTTGCTGCAACCGTTGTCAGTGTGAAAAACAGTGATAGGTCACTTTTTTTCAGTGATTTTGTAACTTCGAGCAGTGGCTAAACGAATGGTTGTAAGTTGAGGACTACCTGTACACATTAATGCCACTTTTCTTCTACCAGTGGAAATAACAGACCCAGAACCTTCAGTATTTAGTCTAAACCAGGATTCCATGATATGTCAGTCCTGCAAAAATCCAAAGCGGAGGAGGCTTCATTTTTGCTCCTACTTTGCGTATGTTGTGACCCGTAAACGGCCTGTGCAGCTAGTAGCTGATTCCGACAGCGAGGAGGCTGGTGTGGTGCTGCGCCAGCAGCCTGTGCAGCTGGCACTCAAGTCGGACAATGAGGAGGCTGGAGAAGATGTGGTGCTAGAGGCAGGGATTCAGCCAAGGCCTTCAGAACCTCCAGAAGTGAAGTGAAGAGGACGAAGAGGAGGAGCCTCTTCTCGATGCACAGGCGCGCAGAGCTGCCAAAAGGCAGGAGTGGCTCCTCAGGAGGAGGTCTCCTCGAGAGTAAGGCTTGGGGCTAATTGGCCACTCCCTTAGTCTATTTAAGGAGGACCGCCGACTGAAGCAATTTGCAGGGAACAACTTAGTTCACATTCCTTTGTGTCTTGTCTTGCTGATCTTATCAGCTTCCTGCAAATTGCTTCTGGACATTCTGCCAACCATAGTAAGCTTTCAGTTATTATTCTTTGAATTCTTGGTGGCTGTTAATGCAGTTAATTAACAGCCGTTGTTGTAAAAGACTGGTTTATTTAGTAAATTATGGTTTGAACGGATTTTGTGTGTGCTGCGTTCTTTGGGGTCCGTAGCTGGGGCAGAACAGCGTAAGAATGACAACGCAGAAATCTTGGATCGGTTTTAATGCTGAACAAACCAACACTTGAGTTTATTTCCTGCATCACTACAACAGGTCAAAGAAATAAAGGCACAGTGTTTTAGGTAGAAGCCAAATAGGATCCATTTTGCAATAAACAATAAACTAGAATTTCCGCAGCCGTGCAGACTGCTGTATGTGAGCAGAGCAATGACGCAGAGTCTTCTTAATTGATTCATTTTGTTTATTTTACGGTATTTATAACCCATCCCAGTCCCAAAGGACTTTGGGCAGTGGACATTATCCACAGAAGTACCCTCCCCTAATGAGTAAACAAGGTCAAAACCAATTAATCACGCAAAGCAATCTTAACCTCAAAGAAAACCTGAATCAAGCAACCAAAACCAGATTGAAATAATTCGATTGTCAGCACTCCAAACTACATTCGTTCCAGTGCTGACATAAGAAGGAGAAGCGAAGGCGTCTGGAAAGGGACGTTTGATTTTTCACCTACTTATTTTCTCTGGAGATAATATCCCCTAGGAGATGGGGTGGGAGGGGGGAAATTCCTTTGAGCTGGAGTAGATTAGGGGTAGAATGACTTGGAAGATGGCCAATGAGTGCAGGGGAGTGGGGAACGGAAAGGGAGGGTTTTGGGGCTGGACGTCAGTGTTGGCTTCGTTTGGAGTCGGGTTAGAATGTCATGCTTAATAAATAGGAGTTTTTCTTCAAAGATTTTGTTTGAAATGCAATTTATTTGAGGCGACCTCGAAACTTGACATCGATTGTAACTTATTTCTGGAACTGCAGCAAAATGGGGGCTGCATGTATTTCTGGAGGGGGGAGGTGAATATTGCAAAGGGTAGGGGCTGTTACAGGAAAGGTTAAGCAGATGTATAAACAACAACTGCACCCTCCAGTAAGGCTGATCTTGTAGAGGAGGGCCTCAGTGGGAAGGAGTATTGTTGGACTGACCTTTACTGGGAAGTGTTGTGACCTAGGCTCACTTAGTCATTACAAGACACAAGTAGTCCCAAACAAAACTGTTTTATTATAACAGCTGAGAATTACTTCATTCCCAGCTTAGTCCAAATTAATTGCAGAACAAACCTTTCAGAATAAGTCCTCCGGGCTTATCACAAACCTTTATCTTCTTTGGCACTCTGCCAAAGGCCTTTCTTGGCAAAGCCCCGCGAAGTTCAGAAACAACTGGAAACAGATTTAGCAGATTTCCCTGCCGTTGTAACTTCAAACAATCATGAAACAAGCAATTTTAAGTCGGAGACCACCTCTAGCTGCCCATCTCAATCAATACGTGACTGGGCGGCATGCATCATAAAACGTAAAAACAATTAAAACAGTACAAAATAAAGATACGTGAAACCAAATAAAACTCTTTGTCAGCACTTCAAGTTGCATTTACTCTAGTGCTGACATAAGAAGGAGAAGTGGAGGCGTCTGGAAAGGGACGTTTGACTTTTCACCTACTTATTTTCCCTGGAGATAATATCCCCTAGGAGATGGGATGGGAGGGGGGAAATTCCTTTGAGCTGGAGCAGTAGATTAGGGGTAGAATGACTTGGAAGATGGCCAATGAGTGCAGGGGAGTGGGGAACGGAAAGGGAGGGTTTGGGGTCTGGAAGTCAGTGTTGGCTTCGATGAGTCGGAGGTAGAATGTCGTGCTTAATAAATGGGAATTTTTCTTCAAAGACTGTTTGAAATGCAATTTATTTGAGACAACCTCGAAACCTGACACTCTTATTCTGGATGCTAATACAGCCAGGAAACAAGGCCCTTAACATCTCAATATTACTTTATTGTGAAGATGGATTGACAGAATCTTGCAAATTTGAAAGTACATTCGCCACGCCCCCCACCCTGTCTTCTTTACCATCCCAAGAAACTAGGGAGGGCTGAATCTGTTGCCCTGGCCATTAGGCGGCTGTGGGTTACGCTGTCTCTTATCTAACCATTCCTTAGGCGGCATCTCTGCCCACTGTCCCAAGGTCATTCTACATACTATTACAGCAGAGGAGTAGAGAGATAAACTTAAGGGAATGCAAGAATGACTAAATAAATATTAGTTCAGCCCTGGGAAGAAGAAAAGGTGAGAAAGAAACTCAAGATTGCCCTGCCTTTTTCTCTTCGGTATAAAACAATGTTTTTCAAAATTTTCAACTTTTAAGATGTGTGGATTGGGAATTCTTCAACTCCCCAGAAGTCCCCAGCCAGCTTCCTTTAAGATTGTGTAGACCAGGGGTCTCCAACCTTGGCAACTTTACGACTTGTGGACTTCAACTCCCAGAGTTCTGGGAGTTGAAGTCCACAAGTCATAAAGTTGCCAAGGTTGGAGACCCCTGGTATAGACTGTCTAACCATAAAGTTGTCGTGATTTGAGAAATATAGTACTGGTATAACAGGAGGCAGAGGGAAGCTCTATCCGTCTTTCAGGGTTCTTGTCTACAACAGTCAAGTTGTCGTCATTCTTCTGGTCTCTATTTCTTGACTTGTCCTCCCTTGAAGGCCTTCTGATTGTACCTTAACTCTAGTAAGATCTCTTCTTCCTTCTCTCCATCCCCCAAATCCCACCAGGGTACGGACAGTGGAACAGCTCGATCAGCGTTATCTTCTGGTGCCCGAAAAGGTCAAAGACGCTTACTTGGTCCACCTCGTGCAAACATTCCAAGATGAACATGAGGACTGGTCCATCATCATCTTCACCAACACTTGCAAGTGAGTTTGTCCAGAGCATCTTTGCCTCCCATCATTTCTGCTTTCTCTCCTTTCTCTTCTGTCCCTTCTTTTGGCCCAGAGCTGATATTTCCGTCTTAATGTAAAGATACTGAATAGCAATGTGCCAGTCAGGCCAAAACTTGCCCATCAATTCAAATTAAAGTTTTTGAGGTTGATTTTTTTTTTAAAAAAAAAAATCTGTTTTCTTCCCTACTTTAAATCAGATTGAGGAGAAGGCAGTTGGGGTGGACTTAGTTTATTCAGTGTAAGAGGTTGTAGTCAGGAGAAAGTGCAGTTTTCTCTTTTCTTACCTTTAGTACTTTAAATATCCCAGGGGTTGCCACAAAGAAGAGGGAGTCAAGCTATTGCCCAAAGTACCTGAGGGCAGGACAAGAAGCAATGGGTGGAAACTAATCAAGGAGAGGAGCAACCTAAAACTAAGGAGAAATTTCCTAATAGAACAGTTAATCAGTGGAACAACTTGCCTTCAGAAGTTGTGAATGCTCCAACATTGGAAGTTTTTAAGAAGATGTTGGATAATCATTTGTCTGAAGTGGTGTAGGGTTTCCTGTCTGGGCAGGAGGTTGGAGTAGAAGACCTCCAAGGTCCCTTCCAACTCTGATTCTATTCTATTCTATTCTATTCTATTCTATCCCGTATGCCCTGAGTAGGATGGGACTTCTCCTAGACATATCTTTTCCTTCAGCACTTTCTGGAATGATTAGGTAATCAGATTTTGCTATAGAAAGTACTGAAAAAAAAGTGAGCCTTTCTGTGTCTAATGTGATAAGAGTGGACTATAAGAACTCAACTGAGATGGATGGATGAATGATGTTCCCTCCAGTTTTTATAGTTCCTACTGACCACATTGATAATAGTTTTCTCCAGGATGATTATCAGATAGACCTAATCTCTTCTATCTGGTAATCCAATTGCTACCGTATAACTAGGTCCATCTCCCTTGCTCTGCTGGTTGTCTTTTTCTCTTTCCATCCAACTTTCCCAGCCTTAGAATTTTCTCCAGAGAGATGAGTGGTTGCTTAATGTAGCCTGAAGTAGGAAAATTGGAGCCTGAACTATATGTGTGCAAGTGAGAATTTCCGTTTGATACGGGCCCAAAAGCTCCCTGCCTCATTTGCAACGATTTCATTGTGAGCTAGTCTTTCTCCTTAAGTCTAGAATAGAGGAAAGGTGAATCTTAGTTCCCATCTCAGAGTGCAAGGTCAGTCTTTCAAGGAATGTTAGCAAAGAGATCCTTATCTATCAAGTTTAATCATTGGTGGCATCAGAGAATTGCATTGACCAAGCAGTCAAACTTGCCTTGTGACATAATCAGGAGCTGGCGCATCCTTTTGATTGACAGATGGGCAGGGCACGGATGTTTCTGAGCAGATGCAGAGTTGTAGCTCCTGCACTAGCTACTAGAGTAGCAAAAGACTGGTTTTATTATTTTATTATTTATTAAATTTACATGCCACCCATCTTGCTTGACCTTCTTAGGACCTGTCAAATTCTCAACATGATGCTCAGGAAGTTCAATTTCCCATCCGTGGCTCTCCACTCAATGATGAAACAGGTAAGTCAATGATGGCCTCCAACGGCTGCCCAGAGGATGGAAGATTGGCGCTCAAGGCCAATTCCTCAAGCCGTCTTCTGCCGTACCTGACTCCCTGCCACGTAGCTTGGGTGCAGCATCTTTTCCACGGATGCCAGCTCCAAGCCTCCATGGGGCATAAGAAGGCCCATGGACCTTCCTCTCTTTTTCCATCCATCTCAAGGAACCTTCTGAGATGCATCTCCAATTGTGCTTCTGCACAGAGAGAAGGAGTGTCCCATCGCTCAGTGAATAAAGCAACTTCACCTGTAGGGAGTTCCAGGTTGAGTTCCCAGTATCCCAAATAAAGCAGATTTGTTCTGCTGTAGGCTCCCTTAAAAAGCAGGAAGCAGGAATTGGTCCCGGCAAAACCTCTTTTAATTACACAACTGTGAACTACGTTCATTCACAGCAGGGGTGAAATGCTCCCGGTTTGGACCGGATCGCCCGATCCGGTAGCAATGGCGGCGGGTGGTTCGGAGAACCATTAGCAAAAATCCCTGCGCTCCCCCTCCCCCGCCCATGCCCAGCTGAGCCAGGCAATCATCAGAGGCTGTTTTTTTAACTTTTAAAAGCATTTTTTCTACAACCTCTTCGCCCGAAAAAATGCTTTTCAAAGTAAAAAAAAGCCTCTGATGATCATGCAGCTCAGCTGGGATCGTCAAAGGCTTTTAAAAGCATTTTTTTCTGCAACTTCTTAAGGTTGTAGAAAAAAATGCTTTTAAAAGTTAAAAAAAAAAAGTTGGCCATGCCCACCCAGTCACATTACCCACCACCACCAAGCCACGCCCACAGAACCAGTAGTAACAAATTTTAGATTTCACCCCGGATTCAGTCAGCGAGTTTTGTCCAAACAGTTTTCCAAAGGAATATTTATCAACACAACTTATCTCGTTTGGCAAGCTGCCACGTAGCTTGTTTCCAAACACAGTGCAAGGCAAAACTTGGCATAGTGTCTTAGAGTCACGAACAGAACTTCCCACTCTTGAAACTACCAAATGAACGAATTGTTTCCTGCAAAAGCCCCCTCCCCATTTGCTCCTCTTTTGTTTCCTATGGGAGGGGCCAATCACCTCCAAGATGTGGCTTTACTCCCAAGTCGACTCTGCTTTCTGAGTTGTTCTTGTCTTCTGGCAGCTCTGCGCATGCACACACTGGGAACAGGCTCCAGCCGTTCCTCTGCCTCACTGCTGTCTATCTGCCTCCAACGCAGAGCCCTTGTCCGAGTTTCCCCAGCCCCCAGGACTGGCCCATATTTCTCCCCAACCTCCTCACTGTCTGACTCTGCTGCCAGCTCTGCTCTCTGCCAGTAGGCCACAACAATAGGGAGTATCACATCACTCAGTGTATAAAGCAACTTCACATGTAGGGAGTTCCAGGTTGAGTTCCCAAGCCTGCAAAATCCTCTCTTCTCATCCGAACCCCCAGCAAGTGGCGATTGTTAGAGAAAGCAAGCTTGATTAAAAAAAATGCAATTTCCTGCTCTGATGATGGTCTTTTTCCTTCTCTCCTTTTTTTGGGTGCTCAGAAACAACGTTTTGCAGCGCTGGCAAAATTCAAATCGAGTGTCTTTAAGATCTTAATAGCTACCGATGTAGCTGCCAGGTGAGCGAAGCCAGTCTGGAGGTAAAATAGGTGCAGAAGAAGGGGATGTGTCCCAGATTAGGTAGATTGCCAAGCTTAACCATCTTTTCTTGTGTTCCATTTCTTTTGGATTTAGGGGGCTCGACATTCCCACTGTCCAAGTCGTCATCAATCACAACACGCCTGGACTCCCCAAAATCTACATCCACAGGGTGGGCCGAACAGCCCGAGCTGGTAAGGAGGAATTCTCTTCGTTGCTTCGAATCCATTGCCCTTTCAGACTGATTCCTTCTCTTTGGAAGCAACAGGAATTCTTAAGGGGTTTGTGCATTTTGTGACTTCAGAGCCCACTTTGATTGACATTTGAACTGGCCTTTAGAAAGAGGCCTCCCTCTGGGATTCCCCACCTTCTAGGGCACTGGAGCATCCTTGCCCGGGGAAAAATGCTGTTTATTCCAGGGGTCTCCAACCCTGGCAACATTAAGCATTGGCGGACTTCAACTCCCAGAATTCTTGGAGTTGAAGTCCACCAGGCTTAAAGTTGCCAAGGTTGGAGACTCCCGGTGTAAGTCATATTATTTATTTATTTATTTATTGGTTCGATTTATATGCCGCCCTTCTCCGGAGACTCAGGGCGGCTTACAATGCGTTAAGCAATAGCCTTCATACTTTCGTATATACCTGCTTAGTAGTGCTTTCGCCCGCCCCCCCCAAGCGGTGTTCTATTTTATACAAAGTCAGCTTATTGCCCCCACAATCCGGGTCCTCATTTTACCTACCTCAAAAGGATGGAAGGCTGAGTCAACCTTGAGCCTGGTGAGATTTGAACTTGCAGTAATTGCAGGCAGCTGGTACTACTTAACAGCACTTTAGTCTGCTGCGCCACCAAGGCTCATTAATGGATTTGGAATTCCATTAAAGCAGCATTTCTCATATTTGGCAATTTTAATAAGTGTGGATTTCAACTCCTAGAATTCTTTACAGGTCGGCACGGAATTGCCATCACGCTGGTGACCCAATACGACATCCATCTCGTCCATGCGATCGAAGAACAGATCAGTAAGTTGCAAAACGTCGGAAACTTTTGGGGTGGGTGGGGAGCCTGGAAAAATATGTTAAGATACTAGTTTCCCCTCTCCCGTAGTTGGCAGCATAGCTGGCTGTGGAATTCTGGGAGTTGAAGTCCACAGGTCTTTAAAATTGCTGAGGTTGGACCCCCCCAGGTTCTCTCCTCCATCCAGCCAAAGATTTGTATGCAACAACAACAGCTACAAAAAAGTATAAAGCTGGAGGTTTAGAGGAAGATGTTTATTCTTATCACTGGGTTAAAACAATATTTTTTATTTCATTCTTGTTTTTGATTGCCTTCTATTATAATATTTACATATAGCTTTTATATGTTTTACCTCTGCTTGTACACTGCCCAGAGTCACTCTACGACAGAGGTGGGCAATTTCTAATATAAATACAAATCAATACGTAAAGCCCAAATGCAACAAGTTATGGTCAGCTCATGGGTAAACCCGACTGTTGTTTACAAATCATGGTTTATCACGATCGTGTGGATCTGTGCACAGCTAAATAAGCCAGTGGTGAAATCTAAAATTTGTTACTACTACGGTTCTGTGGGCGTGGCTTGGTGGGGGGTGGTAATGTGACTGGGTGGGCGAAGAGGTTGTTAAAAATGCTTTCAAAAGGCTCTGACGATCCCAGCAGAGGTTTTTTTTCTTTTAAAAGCCTCTGTCGATCAGGCAACTCAGCTTGGATCGTCAGAGGCATTTAAAAGAAAAAAAGCCTCAGCGGATCAGGCAACTCAGCTTGGATCATCAGAGGCTTTTAAAAGCCTCTGAGGATCCCAGCTGAGCCGCACGATCATCAGAGGCTTTTTTTTTTTACTTTTAAAAGCATTTTTTTTCGGCCGAAGAGGTTGTAGAAAAAATGCTTTTAAATTTTTTTTTAAAAAAGCCTCTGATGATTGCATGGCTCAGCTGGGCATGGGGGGGTGGGGCAGGGATTTTTGCTACCGGTTCTCCGAACCACCCGCCTCCATTGCTACTGGATCAGGCGATCCGGTCCGAACCGGGAGCATTTCACCCCTGAAATAAGCCCTGCCTTAGCCCAGTATCTCTGCTCTCTACCTGTTCATGTTTTTGATTGTCACTGTTGTGACTGAGGCCCACGTAGTGATTACCAAACACAATTCAGTCCTGAACAGACTTATTTTATTTTATTAAAACAGCTGAGAATTAATTCGTTCTCAGCTTAGTCCAAAACAGATTCTTCATAACCAGTCCTACGGCCTCATCACCAACCTTTGATGTCTTTGGCAACCTGCCGAAGGCTTTTCTTGGCAAAAACCCCACAAAATTCAAGAGACGCTGACAAGGAGCACGGGAATCAACGTTGCTTTTCTACAAAGAACCCAACGGCTCGTTGCTGCTCTTTTAAGCCTTATGGGAGTGGCCAGTCATCTCCTGGCCTTACTCCTGAGTCGTCCTTTTTTTCTTCAGCTGCTCTTGTCTTCTGGCAGCTCTTCTCATGCGTGCACTAGGAACAGGCTCCTCCTGTTCCTCTGCCTCTCTGCTGTCCGCCTCTTGGGGCTCCGGAGTCCGCGCATCGCTCCCAGATGGCCCTGGCCCCATCTCTGCCTCCAACACAGAGCTCTCGTCCGGGCCTTCCCCAGCCTCCAGGACTGGCCCATGGTCCTCCCCAGCCTCCTCACTGTCCGACTCTGCTGCCAGCTCTGCAGCCTGCTGGCGGACCACAACAGTCATATTGATGTATTTGTTCTCATTGTATTCTTTTGCCATTGATTATTTCATTGTTCTCTTATTTTACTTCTGTTTACACGCCTTTCGTTTTTCTTCCTTTTTATTATCGGAAGCCACCTAGAGCAGCCCTACGGGGAGATAGGCGGCAAATAAATTTAACAAATAAATGGATGAATGGAAGTCCCCAGCCATTGAAGCCCAAGTCCTTCTCTCCACTGGAGACAGGCAGTGGGGTTCTTTTCTACAGGTAGTCCTCAAACGTACGACCACAACGGAGCCCAACATTTCTGTTGCTAAGTGAGACGTTGGATAAGTGAGTTTGGCCCCATTTTACAACCTTTCTTGGCACCGTTGTAAAGTGAATCACTACAGCTGTTAAGATAGTAACACAATTGTTAAGTGAATCTGGCTTCCCTGTCGACTTTTGCTTGTCAGGCCGTCGCAAAAGGGGATCACGTGACATCCCCCCGGGACACTGCGTCCGTCATAAATATGAGTCAGTTGTCAAGCATCTGAATTTTGATCACGTAACCACGGGGATGCTGCAACGGTCATAAGTGTGAAAAACTGTCATTTTTCAGTGCCATTATAACTTCGAACGGTCGTTAAACAAAGTGTTGTAAGTCGAGGACTACCTGCCTAGCATGAAATGGCAGAGATGCTCACGTACAAGTGATGAAAAGATTATGCTTTGTGTTTTGTTTTTTTAACCATAACGACATCTGGCTTACCTCCCCTCTTTAGAAATGAAGCTTCAGGAGTTTTCGGTGGAGGAGCAAACTGTGCTGAAAATTCTCACTCAAGTGAATGTGGTCCGGCGGGAATGTGAGATCGTAAGTGGAGGGAGGGAGGGAGGGAGGGATTTGGTTCCCAGGGCCCCAAATGATTTCTCTGGACAAGTGAGGGATTTGGAGGCTGATAGGCTCAGTTCCAATCCACTTCCTTTTCCCGGTCCTCTATCAAAACATATCAATCAAGTAATCCCACAATGTTGTGTGTGTTTTTTTTTTTTTGTTTTTTTTAAACTCAGAGACTGGAGGCAACCGATTTTGATGAGAAGAAGGAAATAAACAAGCGGAAGCAGATGATCCTGGAAGGAAAGGTAAGGTGTGTCAGGGCGTTGATTAATCCCATGTTTGGCTCTGGGAAAAATCACCCTGGTTTAGAGGATGGATCGAGGCTTATTCTTTGTTGCAATATTCTGAAAAAGAAACGCGAAGAAAAGTTTCTAATAAAACTCATTTATTTGTTATAAAGAAAATAAAACACCTCACTAACTAAGAAAAGTAATTGCTACATTTTTGAAATAATTCTTGCCGGCTATTTCTCAGCCGGACCTTGCTGGCAAGAGAACAAAGGAAAGAGTGTGTGAAGCAAGTGAAGGAATGCAGACATGCGTAGTAACTTTTGATAACAATTCTTGGCAAGGTACGGAAAGTCTGATAGTCCAGAAATGATGAGTTCAGCTGGCAAATAAAATAACGCAGTGACATTCCCCTTCTTTTGCCAGTTGAGCGAATATCAGTACATCATCAAATAAGGCACATCTTCTTACGCAGATACTCGTGTTGAGTAGCAAATAAAATAATGCAGTGACAAGGCGGAACAATTCTCTTGCTGCCAGGACAGGCAGCGGCTAAGCGGGAATCACCCCAGGCCTGACCCTCCCCATCAGTGGAGACTTGCAGATCAGGAGCAACCAATAGAAACAGGGGTCTCCAACCTGGGCAACTTTACGACTTGCGGACTTCAACTCCCAGAATTCTGGGAGTTGAAGTCCGCAAGTCATAAAGTTGCCCAGGTTGGAGACCCCTACGATAGAACACACTACCAAGAACTTATTAACAGGGCAGGCCACTGATACATAAACAGAGGCCAACCGCTCCCTCCCTTCTAGCACCAATGATGTTACTAGTTGGGTAATGAAACGTCTGCAAGAAAAACACCAAGCTCAGAGAGCACCAAAGACCTTACGCTTTTCCTTTTTTTGATTGTGGTTTTGTTTGTTTTTTTCATCCTTGGTTTGCTTTGACCCCCCCCCCCCCAAAAAAAAACAAAACACAATTACTATAAAGCAAGCAGGCAAGCTTGCAGGTCACTATGGTTTGCTGTGAGTTTCCATCTCTGGTTTCTCCAGATCCCGCGATGACTGCATGGCTGGGTTTGCTCAGTGTGCTAAACCATGGCTTCAGAATAAGCACACTGGTTTGCCATGACACAGGCTGAGAGACCATCGTTTGCCAAGCATAATGTGGGTTTACACCAGAGGTGGATTTCACTTACCGTATTTTTCGGAGTATAAGAGGCACCTTTTTCCCCCCTAAAAGGGGGGATTTTGAAAATTTTAGGTGCGTCTTATACACCGAATGTAGCCCCACCCACCCACTGGCCCCCACCCTTTGGCCTCTGCCTCCCAGCAGTTATCTCCTTGCAGCAAGCAGCAAGAAGAAACAGCTCCTTTCAGCTTCAGCACAGCCTAATTAGCACAAGTTGATTGGATCGGCCTCCCGACTCTCAGCTGATTTGCTCTCAGCTGTTTTGCGCAGGGCCTCTGCTGCTTGCTGCAAGGAGGTAAATTGCTTGGAGCAGATTTTTTTTTTTCCCTTGTGCTAATCAACCTATGCTGAAAACGAAAATGAAAGTAAAGCAAGATGTTTGCTGTTTGCTGCAATGAGCAAAATTGCGCAGAGGCAGAGGCAGAGGCAGATTTCTTTTTCTTGTTTTCCTCACCAAAAAAAGGTAAGTGTGTCTTATACTCTGGTGCATCTTATACTCCGAAAAATACGGTAACTCTGAAGTCAGTTTTAATACAGTAGCGGCTGCGAAATCCACCTTTCCATGAAGTTCCATGATGGTTGGGGAGCAGACAGTTTTGGGGAGAAGAAATGGTAAATGCTTACAGTAAACAGCTGGGATTGGAGGGCTTGAGAAGGGGGAGCAGTTTTTTGGGGGGGCTCTTGCCTATGAGGTCTCCTTCTGGGCATCTTGGAATCTCTTCTTTCCCTGATCCCCACAGGACCCTGATCTGGAGATGCAACGGAAGGCCGAGCTGGCCAAGATTAAGAAGCAGAAGCTCAAGTTCCAGAGCCAAGTCCAACAGACCCTGCAGGAGAGACAGCAGAAGCAGCTTCAGCACAAGCTGATAAAACGGGCACGACGGCAGCAGAAGCAGAAGCAGGCGAAGTGAGGGCAGGTCGTCCTCCCGCCTTGGTGGCAAAGGACCCTTGTGGGGAACAATCCGCCACTGAGCTGCCTCCGCCCCAAATTCGCCTTGCGCCAAAGGGAGGACGCTTCTTCTAACGTTTCGCCTTTCAGTGAATGTAACCGAATATCAGGAGAAAAAGGCTTGGGAAAAGAATTATTAGCAAAGGCAGGTTGGAGAAGTTGCTTGGCTGTCTGGAGACCAAGGAGAGTCTCTCCTTGAGGCCGTCTCCTTTTTTCCAAAAACCCGAGACTTTCATTTGGGCTGGGCCCTTGGAGACCAAGGAGCATACTTGGAGTGTAGGGACGTGGTGGCTCGGTAGCTAAGACGCTGAGCTTGTCGATCGAAAGCTTGGCAGTTCAGCGGTTCGAATCCCTACTGTCGCGGAACGGGGTGAGCTCCCGTTACTTGTCCCAGCGTCTGCCAACCTAGCAGTTCGAAAGCAAGTAGAAAAATAGGGACCACCTTTGGTGGGAAGGTAACCGCATTCCGTGCGCCTATGGCCACATGACCATGGAAACGTCTTCGGACAGCGCTGGCTCTTCGGCTTTGAAACAGAGATGAACACCGCCCCCTAGAGTCAGGAACGACTAGCACATATGTGCGAGGGGAACCTTTACCTTTACCTTGGAGACAGCCCCCTACCCACCTTTCCAAATGAGGGCTGCATCATAAGATCTTGTCTCGCAGCCAACAGTTTTTCAAGTCTCACCAGGCAGTCGTGCCACTGAGCAAAGTTTGGTGATTTGTGGGTGGAGCCTTTTGATAGAAGCAGGCTCTGGTTTTGGGGGGGGGGGTATCACCAGAATCTCACGGCCATGCCAGGCACATGCTGGCAAGTAAACTGTGTACTTTCAATAAACCGTTCTCTATGATGAAGTGGAAAAACAGAAGCTTTTACGTGTTTTACTGTATATAAACCTTGCTACAGTCTTTGAGTTTGACTGTTAACGTTCTTTCAAAATAATTTAGACAATTTCCAAATAACATCCTTCAATAGGAGCCTATGCACAAAGGGCATTTCCTATTCTTCTCTCTACCTGAGTTTTTAATCCCTCGCTCCCTTTTCTATAGGCCTTTGGATGGATGCAAAAAAATAGGGGGTACATTTATAATCTGTCAAATGTCATAGAAGTGATTTATCTCTGCACTTTTCATGGGGGAGGACTCTTGATTTTATTTATTTATTATGTTCGCTATCTAAAGCAACTCTAGGCGGCTTACGATGCCATCAAAACAAAAATATAAAAACTATTATAATTTTAAAAGTACAAGAATTACATACAGATTAGTAGCCAAGCATCTTGATCTTTCCCTCCTGCACCCATACGCTATGCTTATGCGGGACATTTTCACATTTGCGGTATTTTGGATTCCAAATGCCCCCTTTTTGGTCATTTTGGAATGATTTCAAGCGCAAAACAAGCTTTTAAAGTGATTCCAATAACCTGTTTCAACGTCAGTATAGTAGGTCAGAGGTAGGCGACAATGGCAACTGTAGAAAGGAGGAGGAGGGAAAAAAACCCTCCAGGAGAAACCTCCGCAGATGGATTTGGCCCTTGTTTTATGAAAAGCCCAATTTTTTATTTATTTATTTATTTTTATTTGATTTATATGCCGCCCTTCTCCGGAGTCTCAGGGTGGCTTACAGTGTGTTAAGCAATATTATTTTCCCTTTCCCTATATGCCAAGGTGCCGCATCCTCATCTTGTCCTTAGATTTCTTTGCTGGGGGAGATTAAAGAGAATGGCCCTTTTCCATTCCTCCATTTCCAATTCCTCCTCGGTGTCTTTTTCAAAGGAGGTTGCGTTCTTCCTTGAGTGCGTGCAGAAGGGAGGGGAGATGGGGGGAAATGCTTTCGGGGAGCTGGCCTGATGGAGGCTCTTGCTTTCCGTGTTTCATTTCACCATCGGCTTTTGATCTGCCAGCCTCCTCTGTGTCCTCCTATTGATCTCCTGTGTGTTTTTCCCCCGACTATAGCAAATATGACAGGTCACGTGATGTGCGCGCACACACCGCTTGCTATGGATGTGGGCTGAGTTTCAGTCATTACCGTTCCTCGGTGCCCAGACTCAACCTCGTTGGCATGCCAGCTGCTTTCTGATCTCTCTTTCTTCGGGGTTTCTTGCAGGGGTTTCCTTGGATGGGTTGCCATGGACACCGTTCCCAGGGCAAGAGCATCTCTTTGCTGCACGCGCAGCTTTGCAAAGGCCGGTCCTCCATTCCCGACGTGATCTTTCACATCCATCCAGGAGCATCTAGCGCACTGTAAGCGTAGTGGTTCCCCCAGCATCAGCAGCGAAAGCCAATAACGCCCCTTTCCACCCGCAGAGAAATCATTAAGCCATTTCAGGGACTTGGAGGAATTTCGACCCCCCCCTCCTCCAAACTCCCCCCTCCTCCGCGCCCGACTTTCAAAACAGCGGAGAATAGAATCTCAGTTTCTTTCAATCAGAAAGAAATAATTACTAGTTTGTCAATTACACCAGGGGGGTGGTGGAGAATGCATTTTATTCCCCAACACCTTAGTTTCGTTCTAATTTTTTTGGCTTTTGTGGGCGGCTTTGCAGCAGGCTAAATTGCAGCAAGCTTTTCTTTTCTTCTGACTTTTTTAATTGTTTCCCGCAAGACGGCTGGATTGTCGCTCTTTAACAAGGCAGCGTGGGTTCTCAAATTCTGGGGAAGCTGGTGGGGGGGGGGGAAAGCCAGGAGTCTTAGAAAGCAATTTGCAACATATTATTTGATTAAAAAGCGTAAAGCCTTTTGTAAGCTGCAGCTCATTTCCTCGGATGCATAGAGTGGAGCAAGACCGATGAAAGGTTTATTTTGGCCAAAATTGGCTGCATCCGCCATCAATCTAATTCAGTGTTTCTCAACTTTGGCAACTTGAAAGTGTCTTGGACTTCAATTCCCAGAATTCCCCAGCCAGCTATGCTGGCTGGGGAATTCTGGGAGTTGAAGTCCAAACGCCTTCAAGTTACCAAGGTTGAGAAACACTGAGCTAGTCAATCTATATCATGTAGGTGATAAAATGAGCCATAGCTAATCCTTTTTAATAAAAATGTGTTAGCCAGAAAAGATGCCGCTGCACCACACACACAATTTTTGGCTAGCCCAGCTCTCCCAATAAAAATAGCCAACCTGTTCAAGAATTTCCCGTGGACTAGCTGGGGCATTCTGGGAATTGAAGTCCACCCATCTTAAAAGTTATTAAGGATGAGAAACATCAGCTCAGTTCCCCATCTGGACAGCTGGCCACTCTTGCGATAGGAGTCCTTTTGCTTTCCTTGCCTACAAAGAGCAGTGTTGTGGCTCCGATACCTGAGCCTGTGTCATCGGCAGAAGAGGACTCCGAGAATGAAGGAGAGGAGTTGGCAAGGCCTCCCTCTCCAGGACCCTCCTCTCTGGCAATGCCTTCGGTGTCCGCCGAAGGTCAAGAGATAGGCCCGGGGCAAAGCACGTCCACGCAGCCACAGGTGGACAGTAATGAGGGAGATGAGTCTTGGCTGGATCCTTGGCAGCGTCGCAGAGATAAGCACGTGCAACAGAAGAAGAGGCGTGCCAGAGATTAAGCTGAGTCACTGGACCACACCCCACAGGGTATAAAAGGGTGTGAGGTGGCCATTCAGACTCTGTGACGGACAAAACTACTATTGAGTCACATTGCATCTTTGGAAACAACATTATCTGCCTTGGATTTAATTACGGACTGGGCTTGACAATTCTTGAACTGTGTGTATTTTGTTTATGAGTAAAGTCTTGACAAGCAGCTACTGGGTTGCTGCCAATCCTCTTATTGAAAGAATTTGGTTGTCTGCCAGTTTATTTAACCCCCGGCTGTCTGTTTGTGTGTGTGAGAGAGATGGGGACAGAACAAGCAGCAAGAAGGAAGGATCTTGATCAAAGCTGAAGCAGGATGGGGGTGGGTGGGATCTGGATGGTGAAATCCTAGCTAGATGGGAAGCAAGACCCAGTGGTTGGGTTCCTAACATGCTAAAGGAAATCAGGAAAACCAGTTTGAGTAGTTTGCAATTCTAAGTGTCGTGGGAATGTAGAAATAGAGTTGATGGGACGGTTCCTGCAGAATCTAAACTCGGTTTTTCTGTCCTTGTCGGCCTCTTGCCTGAGCTAGAGGAGGCCCAAAAGACTGTCCTTCTCAGTGTTAGCAGGAACAGAAATATCAGATTCCTTTATCTTCCATAGTCAGCACTGATGACATTACCTGGTTTGGTAATGGGACGTCTGCAAGAAAACAACCAAACTCAGAGAGCACCAAGGATCCCACATCAGATTCCTATATCCTCCACAGTCCCTGGCAGGGTTTTCTTTTGCTCCCAGGGTTTTGGGAAATCCACAAACTGCATAATCCAAGTTCCACGAACAAGAGGATTCTAGAGTGGCCAGTTGGCCTGGAAAAGGCTTCCAGAGCACGCCAGCCTTGCAAAAACACCGCTTCGGAACCTCCTTCGGGCCATCACGGTATTAAACCGCAGCTCTCCAGAAGAACAGCTGCTCCTTCGCTCTCGTGCTGTTCAATAATTAAAAGTAGAGCTGAATAAGTCAAAAGATCTCCACAAATAGCATCAGCTGGCTGAGACCCCATCCTTATTGCAGAGGTCTCCCACTCTCCCACTCGCTTTGGACCAGCTGCCAAGCCAGATTCTGGCACCACGAACTGCTATAAAACCGGGCAGAACATGTAATTGCTTTTAAATCAAGCTGCAATTTCACGCTCCAGGTTTTCCATTTTATATTCCTACCCTTGGCAGCGGCTTTCATAGGAAATTTCGCCTCTCCAAAGATTTCTGGGAAAATGGCGGGAAGAGAGGGAGACGCACAGTCAAGCTGCCCTTGTGATGGCTGCTTGTTGCAGTTTGGAGGACTTTTCAATCTGTTTTGGGCTGGAGAAGCGAAGTAGAATAGAATAACAGTTGGAAGGGACCTTGAAGAGCTGCTAGTCCAACCCCCTGCTTAGGCAGGAAGCCCTATACCATTTCAGACAAATGGTGGTCCAATCTCTTCTTAAAAACCTCCAGTGTTGGAGCATTCACAACTTCTGCAGTCAAATTGTTCCACTTATTAATTGTTCTAACTGTCAGGAAATTTCTCCTTAGCTCTAAGTTGCTTCTCTCCTTGATTACTTTCCACCCATTGCTTCTTGTCCTGCCCTCAGGGGCTTTGGAGAATAGCTTGACTCCCTCTTCTTTGTGGCAGTCCCTGAAATATTGGAAGTGTTGTGGTCCGCCAGCAGCCTGCGGAGCTGGCAGTGGAGTCGGATATTGAGGAGGCTGGGGAGGAACATGGCCCAGTCCTGGAGTCAGGGGAAGGCCCGGACAAGAGCTCCTCAGTGCACAACCCAGGGGTCCTCCTGAAACTCACAACTCCTGCCCAAAGAGCAGGTGGAAGTTGTAACTATGAAGTCCTTTGAGTGGCTTCATGCTGTGCACCAGTTGTGCCTGTTCTCAAATTAGAGGGCTCGACTCATAATCACTCATGTCCTAGCCATCTCCTGATTAGACTACTGTAATGCACTGTCTGTGGGACTGCCCTCGAAGAGTATCTGGAAGCATCTATTGGTGAAGAATGCAATACCACAGACAGTTATGTGCGCTCCCAGAACAGCATGTTACACCTCTGCGAGCTGCATCGATTGCCAGTTATTATTTTTTTATTATTATTTTTTTATTAATCATATTTCTATGCCGCCCACTCTCTGAGGACTCTGGGCGGCTTACACCAAAGACAGTATACTAAATAGGATATTGCCCCCAACAATCTGGGTCCTCATTTTACCCACCTCGGAAGGATGGAAGGCTGAGTCAACCTTGAGCCGGTGAGATTTGATCCGCTGATCTGCTGAACTAGCAGTCAGCTGAAGTAGCTGCAGTACTGCGCCCTAACCACTGTGCCACCTCGGGTTCAATTCAAGGTGTTGGTT